CACCTTAAAGCTGGAACCCTGTTTCTGGGTAATCTCAAGGATGCAGAATCCATTTTCATGAATCAAATTTTGGGGTCACTTCAAGGCTTTACAATACATTCTCAGCACCCTATTTTTAGATCACATGAAGCCTTGGAATACATTTTCAGGCAACCCATTTATGTGATAGGATGTTCAATAATTCACCCATACTTGCAACGATAGATAGTTCACTTGCTGTGACTTTCAATAAGGGAGACTTTTAGCTCAAAACATTGTCAAGGTTACTGAGAATCACTCAATATTTATTGCAGCGAATAGTCAGCATTAATTGGCAATCAATTATAAATACCATTATAATATCATGACAATGGATTTATTGATTTAGATTTTATTTTCTGTTGCGATGATCTGAAGATGCAAATGAAATTAAGGATAATTTTCAGTTTTGTATAAGACTGCTGCAGATTGTATTGTAAGTAGTTTCTAGTTTGAATGAATGTTTTATTCCAAAGTATGTTTAACAATTCAACTCAACTCATCCTTCTTCAAAGAATGGTTCTATCAAGGTGTGGAAGGACAATTTCTGGAATGTATTTGCCATAGATCAGTTCAACTGGGAACTGATTAAGCTCACTGTAATCATCAGTGCTTTAGTGTAATTAACAACCTTGCTAGTATCCATGACTATTAATATTAATGTGAAAAATTTACACAGGTTGACAAAGGTATCAAGAACTCATCTGTTAATGTGAAAATCAAAACCATATATCCTGATATAAGGGACAATGCCTTACAATATGACCTGTGGAAACATAATTTCCAGCAATACATGAGCCACAATCTTCACCACTAGACTATCCTGCTGTTCACTATCAAACTGACACATCAATTTACCCAGCTTCAAAAGCTCCAGGATCACAAATGATAGCATAAATGTTTTATTGTCTTCAAAATAACAACTGATAATGATCCATTGTGAAACCTTATCTTATAAATTCTGCAGGGAAACATAAATTTTGATTAAGGTTCACTTACCAAAGATAAAAATACTTTGAGAGATCTCTATCGTGGAGATCAATCTTTGTGGTTATAGAAACATGGTTTGTCTTGGAAATGAGAGAATACATTCAAACATTATCTACAGATTCAGACTTCATATGAACCATTGACTGTCTCTCATAGTTAGTTGTATTGTCCACCAGGTAGTAAGCCAAGTAAACGCAAGTTATGGAAGATGGTTTTACTGAAAATGCCAAAATATATGAACTTTCATGGGGCTCTGATTAGTCTGAATACACAATGCCATTCAGCAAGTAGTCAAATTTACATAAAAATACATTATTTTTTAGATTTCTCAGTAAAGTACAGATTCTAGTACTTTAGTGAAATTTGAGTCCCTTCCAGGATTCGAACCCACACTCTCAGAGACAGGAACCTAACTGTCAGTGCACAAAATCTGCAATGTAACAGACTCAGCCATCATTGCTTCCACAAATACATGAGAAAGGACCAGACAATAGAGTTATTCAATATAGTGAGCAGTTGTCTAGGGTATGATTCCTAGTCACTGAGTCTACTAAACAGATCCATAAAATGGGTGAGAGAGTGAGATTACATGCTGCTTTCAGCAATATTCCTGAAAATCAAATTTTGTTTCATGCTTTGTACCCACACCGGGATAATACCTGGGTTTCAACATAAAGTGCTCATGAGCATTTCCAAACTTGATTCATTAATGACCACAATTGTCTGCAACTCAATATTTTGACCTGGTCACTTGGTCAGTGTTCGTTCAGGTGAACAGTACAAGCATTTTCATGTGTTTTTGATGGATAAACATGAATTCCAGTTATCAACCATATTCCATATTAATTCATAACCACATCATTCTGATATTGTCAGAATCATACAATCAATCTATTATGATGATGGAAACTACAGACCATATCACTATGCTTTCATCAGATTGAGAATTTACAGAGCATCATGATATGGTGTAGAAGAATATTGACCATAATATATATGCTGTTTTCAGATCAACCATATTGTTTCATCTTCTTTGAGAGGCATTTCAGAAGTTGTAAAGATGAAGGAAAACCAAGTTCTATGGATAGGCAACTTCTTTATTGCAATGAGTGCGATGTTTCCTCACTTGTTTGATAACGGTGATATTACCTACACCGAAATGTTGCACTCATTGCATATTACCTACCAAAGAAAACCAAAATGTTGCACTCATTGCAATAAAGAAGTTGAATATCCATAGAATTTGGTTTTCCTATCATTGTAGTTAAGTTATGCACTTTAAATGTTGACACAAACCCAAAGAAAATAGTCGAAAAGTACCAAGAAACACTCAAATACTGCAATGCCTTGCATATCTCACTTTGGAAGAATAATTCAAGTAAAACATGCCCATTTAGTTTGTGTTGTGTACTTCTTAGTGACGATGCCTAAACATTAAACATTACCTCTAAATGTACTTGTTTGAGATAGATTGCAATGCTAATGTAAAAGTGACCTGATATTTCTTTCGTGAAGATCCATGAAATAACATTGTCTTTCATTTGTATTCATTTGTGACATGTGCCATTGGTGGAACCATTTCCAAACACTCTCTATCATCACTATTCACCAGTAATTCATTAACTTGGTTTCAATAGTTAGAATCACAGAGTCATTTTGGATTGTAAGGGCATAAAGTTCTTCTAATGAAGGCACTGGATGTATGTGATTTACAGCTTGATGTTATGATGTTGTAAACAGCTGTACGATGAATAATATTCCTGGCAGACATTTAGAAAACTAAGAGAGACTTCTTGATCCATTTGGTTTGCTTGAAAACTTTTCCGTCCCAGTACTTGAATATTTGTATTTGCAATCTATTCTAGCTATTTTGGAGATTTCTTATGAATTTGATCATAGTTGGACACTTTTAATGTACCATTTCATGGGCGTTAATTGATGAGACAGAATTCGAGGGAAAATTGTGCAAAATCACATTTGTTTACATATTTTTTTATGATGATGCTTGATATAAGCCTAATAAGATCTGTTATCATGGCAAACCATTCAAGTCATTTACAACTCATTTTGTTGGGAATTACTGTGATACATGCAAGATTAACCTATGCAATATAGATTTAAAACAATAACTTAAATATATGGTTTTGAAGGAATATTATAACTCAAGTGTCTCAAACAGCACTATTAATATTTTCTGATTGTCCTCTTTACTGTGTGAAAATTACATAGCGCATAAAAGCAGCGTCCCATACGAAACGAAAATCATTAAAAATGTTTCTTTAATAATTATGGAGGTAATTTCTTAAACATTTTCTATGACGACCCCAAGTACAAATGCACTAGATATATCTCTGTGTCAGTAAACTACAATACCAAACATTTTATCAATACTCATCTTCTGGTGTAATTTACCTGCACTGATGAATTGATTTTCCACAAACTTGTAAAAAATATGAATGATTTTTAAAAGATTTCTATTGTAATACATTTATATAACTTGTTGGATTTAACAGATTTGATGACATCACAACCTTTCATGAGATTTTGACCTTTGGGTAAATTTTCGTCAAGGAATTTAGTTGTGCCTTATCTTTGAAATATCAGTGTTCTAAAATCTACTTGATACGTAATATAAGGTGTAAATGCAATGAAAAGGTACTACCACTGCATGCATGATGCCAAAAAACACTCCTGAAGAAATCCACACACCCACCTCATGAATGAGCTTGACACAGAAAGGACATCATGAGCAAGTATCACGCACAACTGTGCATCTGAATTGTATACATATGAAATCTTTCACCCGAACAATGTACTAAATATACATAATGTAACCAAACTGCTTGGATCTTATGACCTTGAGAACAACCTTGACCCTGTAATATGTCTATAAATTATTTGAAGCACTATCCTAAGATAAATTCATTAAAATATCAATAAACTATTTCAACCTCAGAGCTTCAGCTATAGCAGCTGTTATCTTAGGCAAGATCAAGTGGGGTTGCTGTATAAGCAAATTCATCCACTTACATGACAAAATTAACCGATTGAGAAAACCATAAAAAAAATATTCGTAATGCAAGGAAATCCATAGGACACTTTAATGAACTTTTTTTTTTTAAAAACCAACAACTTATCTCCAACACCTGCAAGAACACATTGAACTATGAAACATTTGAGGCCGGTCAGCCTAACCCACACAGGCTAACCTATCTATGTAAACATGCCAGCCTCCAACGGGACACAAACATGTTATCTGTACAGCTGGGATGGGTTTTCAAGATAGGATAGGCATTATGTGAGAGATTGTGTTGTCAACAACTGGCGTATGGTCAGTGAATCTAGAACATGAAGTTACAAATCATCCAGAAGAAATGATAAGCAAAAGAACTTCTCAGAATCCAGCCATTTATGCAATATCTTTGCAAAGTGGCATCCTGTTACCTGTACTTTAGAACCACTTTTTTTCAGTATCATTTGCAGTCAGAGATCATGGCACAAAGCAACAAGGTTATGCAATCTTTCTGATTATCATTTTTTATCTAAGTGTAATGCTCTAGATACTGACATCTTCCTTGACACGAACGTCATCTTCTTCAGACATACAGAAATCTCAAACAAAGTACCACAGTCTGGCGAATTTGTGCACACCATCAATCTGCCTGACAGCAGTACAAGAATCTGTATCAAAACGTTGCACGCATGAAATAAAATTTGTTGTTATCCATAAAGTTTGTTCAATATTGTACATCCCAACTTCTAAAATGCCGCTCAAAGAAGTTAACCATCAATCATAGCGAAAACATGAAAAAAATCTCAGTAAAAGCATCTACAGACAATTGCATTACCTGAATCAGGACATCTTCATGTGCAGGACACACAACAAGTACTTTGAGTCTCCACTACGTATATTCAAGATACTATTAAAATACAAGAAATGCTGAGTAGTAAGTGTGTTATTCATGTGGTATATGTCTTATTCATGAACTTACCATCACTATCTGTCTTTTCGGCCTTTATCTCCTGCTCTTTCTCCTCCTTTCCAGTTGAAGCTGGTGCCTCTGCTTCTTTTTTCCGTCTTCCTTGTTTAGTAACTCTCCTTTTTTTGGTTATGGTTTTCCTTGCTTTGCTGTCTGTCCTTTTTTCCCCAGACTCCTTTCCTTCCTCTTTAGCAATGTCTTCATCAGCTTCAGTCTCTACCATTGGTGCCGACACTTTTTTCTTACGCCTCTTTGCTGTCAGCCTCCCTTAATTTTACGTCTTGGCTTTTTCATCTTCCTTGGATTTCCATTATCTGTAGCATCTACTGCTGTAGTGGCTTGTACTTCAGGCACATTTTCAGTTGTTTCCGAACTTGGTGTGCCTTTGGCTAAATTCCTTCTTTGTATTGTCACAATTAAGGTCTTTCTACGCTTAGAAGCAGACATTTTCCTTTTAGGTGTGCTCTCAGCTTCTTTCAGAACAGATGAGTCCTGAGAATGTATTGCTGACCTTTTCCTTGATTTGACTGGTCTCTTTCTCTTTCCTTTTCCTCTTGCAATTTTGGTGCTTGACTGAGTGACATCCTCCTTGTCCTTGTCCTTCTCCCCTTCCTTCTCAGCTTGTCTTCTGTCAGTCTTCTTCTCCTCAAGGTCTTTCCTTAGTGTTGTTATGATCAATGATAACCTTTCATTGCTAGTGTTGGTGTCAGAGGTACTGTCACCATCACGATCTTCAGGAATGTCTGACACGATTACAAGTTTTCCTTCATACAGTGGGTTCTTGTCATCTTCATTTTCAGTCCAGGGGGCATTTCTTGGCCAGGTAGGGCCCTCAGGCTCCTGGAATATTTCCTCAAAGTATGTATTTTCTTCATCACATGAGTATATCAAAGTTGCATCACTATCATCAGAGTCTTCTGTGTGTGCTCGCCTCAAATTCAGCCTTCCCACCTCAACCCTTTCTTGTGAAACTTGTTCACATGTTTCAAATTATGATTTTATGCAGCATTCAGTTGCTTCATTGCTGCTAGGGTTTGTAGAGGTGTTGGTACTTGATTCTGACTCAGCAATAACATATATGTATGTCTGGTCCTGTTTTTCTGCTTCAGATGACTCACAAACAACAGATGTTGTAGACTCTAACAGAGCCTCAGGTTTTCGCATATCTTGATCAGACAAATTAAATGATGCATCAGAATCAAGAGGTTGCATTTTGGGCTCACCCACTGCCCAGTTATCAGAGTTGTTTACTTTCTCTAGCACTGGTGGTTCATCATCGTAACGCATAACATCAAGATCAGAGACAACTCTTGTCATTTGATCTTGTGTCTTGTGCATTTGGCACACACCATTGTTTATCCTATCTGGTGTTAATGTTTTGTTATTAATGATAGTACCATCTGCAAGCATGGATGCTTCAGGAATATTAGGACTACTTTTTGTCATTTTACTGTCTTCAGGCTTAGTCAATGTATGACTGTGAGTTGCATCAATATTGTCATCATGTGCACCATCAGTAGTTGCATCAGTTACAGAAGCTTGTTCAACTGTATCTGTTATATTACCTGATTGTTCATGCTTGTTTTGCATAGTTAGTGTGCAGTCGGATACATGAGTATCCACAATGAAGTCATCATGATGTGTTTTGTCAGAATGTGCCTCTGGTGGGAAAGCAGATGGAATTGTTGGAAGGAACATAGGAAATGATGGTACTTGTGGAACAGCCATCTGAACAAAACTACTTGGCTCACTTCCTTTCGGCTTGATAGTCCTTGGCTTAGATACCACCTTAGATTCCTTTTTGTTTGGTTTTGGTCCAGAATGCCTTGGTAAAGTCATGTTTTGGGAGGTTAGCAAGACAGGCTGGACATCTGGTATAGGATACACTGGTATTGAGGAAGTCACTATCACCGGATAAGAATTTGTTACTAATCCATCATGAAAGAAATCTTGAATACCACTAGATGTAGGAGTTGTGGTGTCATGTGTAGATTGCCCTGTGTTAGAAACAATACCTGTTGAACTAACAGTGTTTGTGATAACAGTGTCTGATGTAATACTTTGTGGCTGTGAAATGGTTGCCAAGGAAGTTTGACCACTCTTTCTCTCTTTCTGTTCATTAGTCTTGGTGTTTGGTTTGAGATCAGTATCAGTTTCACTGAAATAGATATGAGCACCACTTTCCACAGATGAAATAATGCACACTGGTGACAAATCATCATCAGTTCTGGAACTGGATAGATCAATGGCCACAGAACTGGTTATGTCAACAGCCACAGAATCTTTATTGGATTTATCACTAAGGCACTGAGAATTATTTTCTCTTTCCTCATTATTCAAAGATGTTTCAGGGTTTTCTGACACTCTTGCATTTTCTAGTTGGACATTAGCCTCAATTACTTGAGTGTCTCCATCACCTTCTGAACTGGGCAATCTTAAATGCATATCCTGTTTTTTCAGTATCCCATGGCAAATATCACTCAATGAATGAGGGGATTTCACAGCACTGCCAACCAATATGACTGATACACTCTCTACCTGATCCCTTTCATCAGGAATAGGGTCTGTTTCCTGACTGCCCCTTGGGACAGTTTGCTGAGAACTCAATTCCTCTTTCTCACATGTTCTATCTGTTGTGTGTCCAATTTCTTGACTCCTGTCATCATTGTCCACAAACATTACATTGTCATTTGAATCCTTAGAAACCGAACAGTGCTGTTCCAAGGAACTAGCTGCATCTCTTGCCATTCCATCTGAGCTTTGTAGATTACAATCTACACTTCTGGTTTCAACCAAAGTGTCTTTATCATTGGCTGTGCAATGAGTCCCTGAATCTAATTTAGGAACTGTGCTCTCAGCAGCATTACTCTCTGTTGCCGCTGCTTTGTCCAGTGATTTTTTATCAGGAAAATATTCATCTTTCTCTCGTGGAGAACACTCCTTCCTGTCCACTGGAGAATCATTAAGTTTCAAGGAAGAATCAACTTCATTATGCATATCTTTAGTTATATTTTCTAGCTGCATAACACTTTCATCAACCTCAACGTCACCATTTTCCTTTGATTGTTCTCTCTCTTTCAGTCCATCTGCTGAAATGCTCAGTATATCTGAACTATCAACAGCACTGTCAACAACAGTGTCATGCACAGTTTCTGGTACTAGTGTTGGCACAGAAGACAATTCAGGTTCTTTTCCAATAACTTGTCCTTCAATGCTCCAACTATCAGATGAACCTGAAAAACCATCCACAGACTGATCTCTGTCCTCTCCACTATGAAAGTCTGTCGCATCTCCAGATGAATCTGCAGCACATTTATCAATGACACACACACTACTTACTTCACTCTCTTTATGACCTGGGTCATGAGCATCAATGTGTTCTTTACCAGGAGCCATCTCCGTTCCTATATTGCTCTCAGTCTGGGAGTCAGAATGACTACTATGTACAGAGTCAGAACCAACCGATCCATCATCTGTATTCATATCCTCCCTCACATCACTTCTCACAATCATGTTGTCATCCAAACCTGACATGGGACTAATGATATCAGTAGCTTCTGATGAAGGTGTTGAAATCTTACTCATAATCATTGGAACATCTGATGATGATCTTAATATCTCAGTATTATGAATATCTAAGTTTGTTTCCAAGAAAGGTCCAGGCTTTCTGCCAGAACCACCAAAGTTAGCACCTTTCAGTTTTGTCCTCAGCTTATCCAGGTCAAACATCTGCATGTGTTTGGGCAAGGGTCCTGTTGGTTTGGGGTGAAATGTCTTGGATGGAGTTTTCACTCTCCCTGAATTTTTGAAAGGCATATTGGTCATGGAGGCATTATTGCTGTATGCAGATTGTAATGGACGGGAAAGTGACATAACTTTTGGATCAACTAACAGTGAGGAGCTAGTTATGCTATCTTTTGTGTCAAGCATATTTTCTGAATTCAAAATTTCATTTTTATTATTCTTGTGATTAAAACTGTCCTTCTTAATCTTGTGTTTTTTCTTATCAAGCATGCCCTTAGAATTCAAAGAAAATATCAACTTTAACGATTTTTTCTTCTGCTTTTTCTCAGCTTTTTTCTGGACATCACTATTTTTCTTACGCTGCTTATGCAACATTTTGTGCCAGTCTCCTTTTAAACAGAGACCATTGTGTTTCAGTTGCATTCTGATAAGTTTTTCTGTCAATCTCTCAAGCATAACTACAGGTGTTTTGTGTAGTACATCCCTTAGTTGAGGAATACTCTCACAATAGGCAAGAGTAGACATTGGTATTGGCTTTGAAGTAGCTGGAGAACTGTGTTTCAGAATCTTTACTTTGGGAAGATTATTTGATGATACTGACACAGAGTGTGTTTGAGCAATATTTGGTAAGGACTTAGGGAGTTTAGTTGAGGATGACAATGAAGATAATGAGGAACTTGTTGATGCTGCTGTTGCAACGGCAGTGGAAGAGGATGAGGTTGAAGATTTGGATATAGTCCCTGATGAAGAAACAGGTGGTCTAGTTGGCACATCAGCAGAATGAAGGTTCAGATTAAGTGAAGCTCCCTGCATTGAACTTTCACCACTTTTAGAACGGTTGTCATCTGGCCTTGATGAAGGATTTGCACCAAAGAACTTATGTGAACTCAATGATGAAGATTGATGCTTTGTGGATGACAGAGTGCTTGCTGAATCTTTATTGTGTGATGAAGATGTATGTGAAGATGATGATGAAACTGTGGAAGCAGCAGTGCTGTCACCTGTAATCTTTTCAACTAGTTTAGAAGGAAATGGGCGACTCCCACCTCTGTCTCTACCCTTCCTTTTCCTATGTCTTGGAGCCATAGGCATGGAAGGTTGTATTGCTGCGCCAAAACTTTGACCCTGGCATGAATGTCTTGGGTAACTGTGCCACTTGAAATCATGTGATCTCTGGTCTGTGTGCCTGTGTCGGTAGCTATCAGAGTATCTTGGAAAACCATGAGCTGCAGATCTTCCATTTGGCTCCCACCTTCTATCCTCGTTTGGGAGATACAAACCTTGTGATGGCCTCCAGTAATTGTTTCTGTGCACACTTCTATTCCACTCACTGTTGTCATGCATCCTTTGTGAAAATTACGTGTTACCATCCACGTCCGCAACATGGGCATCCTGAGCTAGCCTGATGGACATTGCGTAGGACCTGAAAGTAAACCAAAGCAATGCCTTGTAATTTCTGCTACATGACTGATAGAATGTTTTCAAAATAGGGTCACTACTAGTAATGTTAAGAACATAAACAGTCTCAGTTGGAATACACCTGACTGAGTATCATGATGATTTCAATTTCCACATATAACACTGATGTGTCATAATTAAAATCAACATCAAAGTGTTAAACTTTGAGAGTAATGTACTATAACACAAGTTTCTGCAAGTAGTTATTTGGATCCCAGATACGTCAAACAAGCTCTCAAATCAGGCAAGTACTTCCTGCCCTCCACACAGAGGAAAGATGCTTATGACCTTTCAGGTTTCTTCCAAGCTATTTAATATTACATGTCAGTACAGCTAACTCCATCATATCTGCTTCCAAAATAGAGCATATCTGCAGTGAAAAAAGGTTGTTTGTTTCATCTTGTGGCTGTGTGAAAACGAAAGACATTAAAAGATGGTTCTTGTTGTCACCCTGCCTGGCACTCAGCGTTAAGAGGACAAAACAGTCAGTGAGTGAGTGAGTATGGTTTTACATCACTTTAGCAATATTGCAGCAATATCATGGCAGGGGACTCCAGAAATGGGATTCACACATTGTACCCATGGGCGGATCCAGGAATTTTGAAAGGAGGGGGTTCAGGGGGGTTCGAACTCCCTGAACCCCCCATTGGCTCTGCCAATGCAAAAAACAATCTCCAATGTGATCTTAAGTCATTTTCAAAAGGGGGTGGGGGTGGTTTCGAACTCCCTGAACCCCCCCTCTGGATCCACCACTGGTCCCCATGTGGGGAATCGAACCCACCCGGGCCGACAAGCAGACACTATAACCACTCGCCTACCCCACCACCTCAGAGGACAAAACAAGGACAGTTCAGTATCTATATATATCTTATGCATGGTATCCATTTCAAAACAGCAGCATTGTATCTCAGTGAGCTGACATTATAAAAAACAGATTAGGTCCAGACTGGTAAAAAACAAGTAGACAAAGTCATTAATATCCCCCGCAATGGCAAAATACTCTTCATGAATATGTCTAGAGTTATGATTATGTCAAATGTTTTGGCGTGTATATAGCTAAGTGGAAGAAGAGTACTGAAAGGTTTCAAAGTTCTGCTCCAGAAAGGAGCACTACCACCAAATTCAGTTGAAGCCAAAATTGTTGCCATGGAAACGCAAACAAACCCATTTTATTCAGAAATCCAAAACTAGCAAAAGGCACCAGTTCACCACTAGACCTACCTATGTATGAAATTTCGTGATGAAACAGTGAATAGTTTTTAAGTTCTGCTCCGGGAAAGAGCACTACCACCAATTTCAGTCTAAGTCAAACTTGTTGCCATGGAAATGCCCAAAACACTTTATTCAGAAATCCAAAACTACCAAAAGGCACCAGTTCACCACCAGATTTATCTATGTGCCAAGTTTGGTGAAGAAACATTGCACGGTTTTAGAGTTCTGCTCCAGAAAAGAGTACTAGCACCAATTTCAGTCTGTCAAACTTGTTGCCAAGGAAATGCAAAAAATATTTTATTCAGAAATCCAAAACTACCAAAAGGTACCAGTTCACCACTAGACCTACCTATGTATGAAATTTCGTGATGAAACAGGGAGCCGTTTTTAAGCTCTGCTCCGGGAAAGAGTACTACAACCAATTTCAGTCAAAGTGAAAGTGGTTGCCATGGAAACGCCCCAAACACTTTATTCAGAAATCCAAAACTACCAAAAGGCACCAGTAGACCACCAGATCTATCTATGTGCCAAGTTTGGTGAAGAAATATAGAACGGTTTTAGAGTTTTGCTCCGGAAAAGAGCACTACCACCAATTTCAGTCTAAGTCAAAATTGTTGCCATGGAAATGCAAAAAAATATTGTATTCAGAAAACTAAAACTACCAAAAGGCACCAGTAGACCACCAGATCTATCTATGTGCCAAGTTTGGTGAAGAAATATTGAACAGTTTTAGAGTTATGCTCCGGAAAAGACAAATGTGCACGGACGGACTGACGGACGGATGGACGGAGTCCAATTTAATACCCCCACAAAACGTGTTGCGGGGGATAACAAACACCCACATACACTTGCATTGTGGTCTCTATGTAAGGGAAATTATCTTGAACATGATTTTGAAACACATTCACTTAACCTCATCTGGGGTGGGGTGGGGTAGCCTAGTGGTTAAAGCGTTCGCTACTCACGCCAAAGGCCTGCGTTCGATTCCCCAAATGATAACAATGTGTGAAGCCCATTTCTGGTGTCCCTTTTCGAGATGTTGCTTGAATATTGCTAAATGCGGCATAAAACCATACTCACTCCCTTGCTCACCTCATCTGTGTGCAAACCAGTGTAAACCTTATCTAGAACACATAGCCCCGACAAAGCCATTGGGTTTCCATTAAGGGCTAAAACATTTTGTCCTAAAAAAACTGCAAAGTACCAAATATACATATATGTATCAACAACAAACAATACTAGATGAACAATTGAGTGAGAAGTACATATTCCAATGTAGCCATTTACATACATTGTCCAGGATATGTTGATTGTGCTAAATATTTTAACGAAACCTTTCAGTTAATACTTAATTAAAAATTCATATGGGATTTCAGTTAATTTCCCCAATAAATATTTAGTCAAATCTAATGGCGCCATTTCCGTTTACTTTGTCACTGAGCGTTGATTAAATGATACGTAAATAAACATCAAAACTTATTATAATTATACAATTAATGTTATCATAATGGTACAATTAATGTTATGATAATATATGAGATAAATATGTGACATATATCAAACATACAAATTTAGTACAAAAGCACTATTAAATGTTTCATGTATATTTTGGTCTATTGTAACCACCTGCAGACTGTTAAAGGAAATTCAAGGGAAAAACATTCTCTTATGAATATTTAACAATGAATAATCCTATCATCTCTGCTAATCGGAATGATCACATATGTCACAAGTCAAAAATGTAAAATATCTGGAAAATCCCTTTGCTGGAATATCTGATTCTGAAATAAAATTCTTTTGATGAAAATCAGAATTAAGATTTATCTTTTTCCATTTAATCAATTAATTAAATATTTTAGATTGTATGCATATCATAGATTGTATGAATATGAACTATAAGATATCAACTATGTTAAGTTCTTTAATTTGGAGAGACAAATTATATGTTGACATAATAGATTTTCTAAATCACTGTCGACATGCAAGTAATAATTCTCATATAATAAGGTATTGTTTGCTTTTCATTTGAAACAGCTGTAGTCCTAGTTGCATTTTAGGATATGGAAAATGATTAATCACTTGATGGTTTTGCATGGCACTTGTCACAAAAGCATAGATTTGTGGCAGAAAATGTCATGAGTCAGTGCTCACGAATGGTGTTTCAAAGTAACAGGACATTGGGTCCTGTAAGTTTCAGATGTCTGTCTGACCCATTCAAAATTCAAAGGACCCATAGAATAAATTAAACACACATTTCAGATTTAACATTTCTCAAAATTGGCATTGAAATTATTAACAAACATAAGATTTATAAATGGCAAATAAGTGTCACATGTCACATACAACATAACTTCAGCCAAAGTCATTGTGAAATATACAGTCAAACACTGGGGCCGGGCAGGTTGTAGACTTCTATCGGACCGTTGGCGAATCTGCCGGATTTGTCAGAGGGTCAGACGCTATTCGTGAACACTAAGGCTGTTACGATTCACTCGCATATTCGGTGAATCGAACCGTAGCCCTTCATGAATTCAATTCGTTATTCGTGGTCACCAGAACCGAATATTCATGAATATTTACAATTTTTTTAAGTGAGTGTGTTTTACTTGAACCCTTATGTCCCTTTTCAAAATGAGATATGCAAGAATGCATTATGTACTATCCTTGTAGTAGTGCAAGTCATGTTAGTTTGCCAAGGGCGGACATGTTACTGTCAACTATAACTATTACATACCAAATTTGAGTGTCATGAGATAACTGGTTATTGCTGTGACAAATTAACACTGTCAACATTGGCTTTCCATATTGTGCATCAATCACTAACTACAATATTGTATTCGTGAATAATTATTCGAAATCGTTACCCAATATTCGTGATACGTATCATATTCGCAACATAGTGTATTCATTACAGCCCTAGTGAACACTGATGAGTATGTCAAATGTTTTCCTTTTTGACCCTTTACTCCAAACACACTACTGCAATGCATCATATACATATTTGTTCTTTTGGCAGTAACATTATACCAGTGAGTTGATGCCGTTCTTGTTTGGGCTACATAACCAAGTTGGAAGAGACAACACACATCAAGTATAAAGGAGCATGGAGCCACGAACAAGACATATTGTGCAGCATACAGATGTGAATCTAGTCCTGTAATATTATGCAGAAAATTTCAATAAGTCCAAATTTCAAACTTGGACAGTGACCAAGAAAGGATGCATTCCGGAAGCAACGGTGGTTCAGGGGCTGGGAAAGGCAGGGCCCATGGGCCATTTTGCACATTAGAATAAAAAATGGCCCATTAAAATTTTGAAGTTTACTATTGATACAAGGGCAGTGGCCCATTCTTAATTCAGAAAATGGCTAATAATCCTGAAAATGGCCCACTGTCAAAGTTCTCTATCCCCATCCCTGGTGGTTGATGGTGAGGGGGCAATGTCAGCAAGCAGTGTTCGTGACAGCCTTTCCAAAAAGTGAGCCTATGGCCCACCAGCCCCCATATGTGGGTCCTTTAGAAAATATTGTGGGTCATGTCAAATTGCTGTGACTTTTATATAACTTTTTTATAACTTTCACAGTTTCAGTCAAGTCGGCGTATTGTTGGGTTTTTTCCTAGACCTACTTAGTTTGGAGATGTGCTTGCTTGTGTTTCAGATTTTTATTTATGGATGCACCATCGCGACCTGTCTGTATCTGGACTGTGCCGCATATTAAATGTCAGTGTGCGAATGATGCAAGGGTACGGCTTAGAATGAACACTGCAGCAAGGTGTGATGCAGTCAAAAAGCTTACTTTCTTGCACACACCACACCCCTTTATTGAGGGAGTCCCTATATACATGGATTTCTGGATCAGGAAATCTTAATGGAGAATAGTTTCAGTTATCTGCCATCAATATGTACATCACTAAACACAATGAAGCATTATGCTTCCTTAGCCATTTCACTTAAGCAAATACTTCTGAAGAATCTTCACAAAATTTAAAATCTGATGAAACAAATCTTTTAAAGCAAATTTCATTTTAGTGTTCCTCATGGTTCATGCCTCCTACAAAAGTAGGGTCATCCTGCTACCACTTTGGAGCAGAAAAGGAATGTATTTTTCCAGACAGTTTGCAGTTGATGGAGAAAACAATGTATTTCTAGACAGTTTGCAGTTGATGGAGAAAACATAATGTATTTCTAGAGAGTTTGCAGTTGATGGAGAAAACATCATGACTTTTGTACACTCACTATAAGATCATGATCCATGTAGGCTATACAAGGTAAGGTTAAACAATGATTAGACCAGATCAATTGTATTTCTTGTTTTACAGATTTTTGCCCTCTGCAAACCTAAAGGCAGTGAAAAACAAATAATCACCAGTCCAAGCATGCATTTTTCAAAGGCATTGTTTTTCAAGTTCACACTCGCTGAGGTGCTAGAGCACTGATTTCTAACACAAATATTGTTAGATAATTCAGTTTAAAGTCTCTGAGAACAGATACAGGCGTTTTAGTATCCAACAAACTACCTTGTGTAGACAAAGTCTCGCTCTCATATATCTTAGCATTAGGATTCTATTTTTTGAGCAGGGAAAATTTATTTCTGTTCCTATTCTTGTGAAAATACGACCAGAGGATCCGTAAAACAAAAACAATTGGTCTGGCCTTAATTTAAAGGAAAATATTATACATTTAGTAATTCTATATTTTAGTTATCAATTTTCTATTTTGAATGTCTCTGTTGCACTAGAATAATGTTGCCAAAAATTTGGAAAGCAAATTATTAATAGCAAAGGTGTTGCTAACGATGTGGGAAACATTGCAAAAGGGAGTAAAATATTATTGTTAGACAGATGCCAGTGACACATTTTTCTTTAACCAACATAATTCACAAAACAGAAAATTACAACATGTGATTATGTGCTCTTCAGTTACAATCCCTTGGAGTTGCCTTTCAATATGGGTGATTGTACATGCAAAAACGGTCAATGAAAGGAGAAAATATTTAGAAAATATTTACAAAAATGACATTACTGATTCCAAACAAAGAATAAATAATTATTTGTATTTCACTGAATATGTGATATGGATGTTCATGAGTGATTAATATACAAATTTTACTTGCCAGTTTTCCATCTCCGTAGAAATACACAACATACATCATCCTTGCTGTGGATTGTCTTCACTTTCACAAATAAGTTTTTTTTAACAAGTCTCGATGACCTTCTGTCAATCCTTTATCAATACATCAAACTGTTCTTGTTTTTCATTGGCTGGCATATGCAATGCAAGTTGGTAACCTGTTAATCAAAGAAATGTCATTGTCACAATCTGTGTCAAACTTCCTGACAGCTTGGCCAGAGAGGATGTCTCCTGCAGATGTGTTAACATAGTTTTGTCATGGTTACTAATATAGTCAAGGATTGTCCGGTCATCTCACACAGAGGTATTTACTACACAGTGATGTCCTCTTGGCATGCCAGAGCCCTTATAACATTATGGCTGTTTTAGCTTAGATTCATCAGGTTTTTGATTCTTGGTTTGTTGGGGCATGGATGGTCATTTTACAGAGCAACTTACTCTACACAGTAATGTTCCCTTAGATGGTGGCATGTGGTCCTGTGCATAGAGCTCAGGTCACGAATCAGTTGAACTTAAGCAACGTCGAGCTCGGACAGTCCTTGGATGGGTAACCGTGTTTGGCTGCTTGGCTCTTGAAAGTATCGAGGACTTCAGTCCTACCCCACAACGAAAAGCACATGTGACACATGTGGTCTCACCTTAGGCAAGCGAGTTTGTTAAAAATTGCCTCTGTTCACCCAGCAGAAAATGGGTACCCGGTGGGATAAGATATGTGACTATAACCTTCTAGCGCCTAACAGGCAGCATGGGTTATCCGGGGTAAAAATGTGTTAGCGCTTTGAGCAGGCACAAGTGTGTGGAAAAGGCGCGTTATAAATGGCCATTATTATTATTATTATTATTATTATTAGATTCATAATGATTTTCATCTTGATTTGTTGATCATGTCACATTGATGTTCTGTAGCTATGAGCCCTACAATCAGGAGTATATAGCTTAGATTCATAATGATTTTGATCTTGGCTTGTTGAAGGATGGATCAGTCAGTTGTCTAAGATGGTACAGCTGCATCCTTTGGGCATGCCGGAAACCTATTATTGTGTTTTTGAGTCAGATTTTGTGTCCAAGTTTTTCCACACCATACCCTTCTTGTTAGTTCACACCAAAGTGGTAAATGTCTGAGACCTGTATCACCTTATGCTTTCCTCCAGCACCATGCCCACATGCTGGGATACAACTGCAATATTGTTAACAGTGGTGTAGAAGTCAGGGCCTAGATTTTCGAAGTTCTCTCAGCACTAAGACAGTCGTAAGTGCCATACATTAACATTAACTTACAACTATCTTAGCTCTAAGAGAGCTTTGAAAATCTAGGCCCTGGTACTCATATGGTTTGTGAGCCAATGTCTGTACACAGTGAGTGATTTTAGTTTTATGCTGCAGTCAGCAATATTCCAGCTATATGGCGTCGGTCTGTAAATAATCGAGTCTGGACCAGACAATTCAGTGATCAACAGCACGAGCATCGATCTACATCTGTGCATAGTTATTGGTTAATGGTAATAGTTATCTACCCTGAATGATATACATCGTATCATGTGAGTCTACAGACAAAGTTGGTATTAACTGCTTGATTGTAGAAGTTGGTGAGCCAAAAATGAAGCATACAACTTTCTGGATAACAACTTCTTGTTTATTGCATAGAACAATGTTTCATTGTAGATTCTTACACTGTTATCAGGCTAAAGGTGAGCTAAAAGTGTAAGAATCTACACCGAAATATGTCTCTTTTCAATGAACAAAATGTTGTTATGCATAAAGTCATATGCTTCATTTCTAAAGTGGGTCTGGATTACTTATTAGAACTAAAAATGTTTAGTTTTAGTTCCTAAACAAGGAGAAGTTAACTAAAGAAATAACACCATATTTCACAGCATGGAATGACAAGAGACATTCACAGACAGAGTATTTCATTTCATCCTAACTCATAGAAATATATAATGCACTGGATGACACAAGATTTCAAATAACACAACCTGAAGCATCAAGCTGACATATAAATAGCTATTTCATGGTATTAAAAGTGAGAAAAACTGGTCCAAATTATGACAGTCATCCCTTTCAAAAAATGATCCAAGGAACGCATAAATGAAAGAATGATGCTACGTTCTGTAGAATCCTTTGTGTTCTTTCAACAGTCAAAATAAAATTTCTCTTTAAACTGTGTTTGACAATGACAATCTAACTTGACTATTTTCCAAAGAAAACAGAAACATCCCTACAGTCATATGTTCTATGCTTGCACTGTATAACCTGACAATAAAGGTCTAGTTGTGTCGGTGAAATTCAATACATGTCCAAAATAATCATATCCAGAACACAGACACAGGGAAAAGTCACAGGATCATTGATACTTGGAAACCATTATATATTTAGTATCAGATGTCTGCCTTGTGTGATTGTATCTTTCCCCAGTGAAGGGTTGTTTTACATGAAAAAAGTCCACATTCATGCTCGTTCAATCAAATATATTTTACTTCAGGGGGAGGGGGGAGATGAGAAGAGGGGCGGGGGGAGAAGAGAGAGAGAAAAGGAAGAGGGGGCAGTAGAGGAGTAACATACCTATCACTTCTGCCCAACCATTTAAAATGTTGCTGATAAGTGACAAAACAAAACTGATAAATTGTGGCAAATCAGTAAGTTTTTCCTACCAGTATTCATTCAAATTACCTACAATATGACTATTTATCTATCAAAAATCAAAAAGATTTTGCTAAAGTCATGACATACATAATTGTGTATATAACAATTGTGTTTACCTACCTCAGAATTGGAAAACAGAACAAATATGGAATCACCACGATGTTGGATACTGTTTGTATCTAATTGCATATTGCTGTCAGATATATAGTCCCGCTCACGTTTCTTGTGCAATTGTAGGCCTTATCAAATAGAGTGCATGGACGTTATCTCAGATAATATATGACCTGGTACACAAGATAATTCGTAAGTGTTCAAGGGTCAATAGCTGATAAAACTCTGTCAGAGATATATGAAAAGGTCATGACCTAATTGCTTGAAAATAAAATAAAGAAAGCTATACAAATGCTGTTAAATTGCTGTTCCATCACAGTTTAAAGAAATGTTTTTGCCTTCTCAATTAATATTTATTGTGTTCTGTACGAAAGGACATCATAACAGGAAATTTCACGTTGTTCTCATTTCTGCAGCAAAAATGAAATAATGGGGTGTCTTGGTTCATTCAAATATTTCATTTTACCCACTTGCAGAATTCAACCAAGGTCTAAGATGCAATTGCTGAGTTTCTCACTGTACAATGTGCTGATTCATAAAGGTCAATCTGTGAGTTGATGTTGACTGATTACTTTTAGCTGTCAAACACAATTTGAAAAATCACTTTAGCATTTTAAAAGCACACTTTATTTTGTATAAAATGTATTTATGCTTGTTTATGCTAAACGAATGAAACAAAATTTATATATACAGTATAAAAACAAATGTTTGTATGTTTCTCATTGGCAATCAGCTCTTCTGAGCTAAAAAGGTTTTGCAAGAAACACATATTAGTCAGAGTTTAATCTGAAAACCCTTTCACAAGATTTCCTATTTATTAAACTAAAAGACAGTGTCCTTGATAGTCTGTCTCACAGTCCCTGAGCCACATTATTTTCCCTACTGCCAAGCCTCTCTGCAGTGCTAAAGCCCTACATAAAGTAAGTCTAGATTTCCTCAGGTTCATTTACCAGGATTTGTTTCAGAAACAGATATTTTTTTGTGCTAGCAAATTAAACACAGTGAATATGAACAGAAATGAAGATATCGAGAAAGCCATAAAAGTAGCACTTATAAAACTACGAATAGAAGAAATATGTCCAAACCAGCGAATTGGTATCATGTCTTAGCTGAAGGGAAATGACATGCTGTACTGTTACCTAACTGGGAGTGGTAAATCTTTGACAAATTGTACCATTTGTTTCACAAAACAAACGAAGCAACAGTAACTGTCGTATCCTAACTCGTAGCACTCATAAAGAGTGAGTGAGTGAGTTTGGGTTTACACCGTATTCAGCAATATTCCATATATGGCGGCAGTATGTAAATAATCGAGTCTGGACCAGACAATCCAGTGATCAACAGCATGAGCATCAATCTACGCAATTGGGATACGATGACATGTGTCAACCAAGTCAGCAAGCCTGACCACCCAACCCCGTTAGTCGCCTTCTCATGAAGAACCAAATTGAAAAGGCACAGCATCTCGGAATTAAATCTGTTTACCTTCGTGATGTGATTGAGGCATGCAAGGTGAAATCTGGTGAGGATGATCTAGTATCTACAAATACCCAGAACATCTTCAAGCATAAGACAGACGCTGGTCTTTTCACTTCCATTGAACAGTTTGTTTAAAAAAAGGGGGTTTTCTACATCCTCTTTGCATATTATACAAATGGAAACTTTTGAATTTGGAGATAATTTCAAATTCATAAATAATTTTGTTGGTGTTCCAGATAGATCTTGCACCTTGGTCATCTAGTCTCCAAGTGACATTGTTGGCTGCAAGTTTCCCAACTGTAAAATGTTAGGCAGTAAGGGGGCTTGACTGGCCCAAGTGAGTTGATGACAGGAGATAGGACAGGGCTTAACAAAATGGCCAATAAATATGCCTGTCACTTACACCGTTATCTGATGGTTGTATGATGTGACTTCTAATTGGTAATGACCCCAGCACATGTAGCCCCAATGCAGATGTTCTTAGTCTCTGAATCTCTGGTCTCCCAAGGGCTCCTTTTCAATATAAATGGGCTTGTTTGTTACTATCAAAATTATATATATTCAGAGACAAAGCATTAGTCTATGTCCTTGATTAAAGTATCCATTTGAATTGTTAATGAGATGATTATACAACAGCTTTTTCTTCACAGCACTTCCCATTCCATTCCAAAGTTCTGTCATCACATGAAATATGAAGCCTGTGTTGAATTAGGAATGTCGTTATGACGTGAGAAGAAAACATTGTATTGTTACATGTAATTACACAGTATAATTCATCAGGTACTCTTCTATCAAAGCCTAATATGTTCTAAGGCAGGTAGGTACATGAAAGCATGGTTGGGGAAAATAAGATATAAATTGGCACAAAGAAATGCTAATAATGTCACATTGAATTATTAGTAACCAAATAATGGTGATAATTCAA